AAGCTCAAATCTCAACCCGCAATAAAGATAGCAACGATGCATTCATTGCAAAAGCCTTAAGCGAATATATTTAAACATATCAAGAGAACAGAACAGATCTTCTTTGTTTTGATGGAACGTAGAATTTGGATCCTGTTTGACTTTACATCCCCTATTTTTTACACGTTCAGATAAGTCGTACTTACAAAACGACTATAGAATTTGTATATGTGCGAATAGGGGGATATTTAAATGCTTATTTACCTTTCTTAATAGAAGCAGATGCACTTCTTTGGGAATCTCGAGTTGTTCAAACACCAGAGACACCATCTTCTTTTTTAATTTTTTGCTTCCTTAAAAGTACCGAGAGTACTATTTGATTGTATAAACTGCCTGTGTCATTTCAAACTTTTCCTCACAACCTTGCGTCCGATCAATTGTGGTGATTAAACATGCAACTCTTTCATACCAGCCAAGAGTAGCATATTCGACAGACCCAATTCTCAAAACGTTTACAACAAATATTCTCAGATCGGATCCTGCGAATGTGGCTAAATATCCTTAAATGTGTAGAAAATAGCAGCATTTGCACTTCAGTTGTATTCCTGAAAGCGAAGTATGATGTTATTAAAAATAAACGCACTTACGGTAGTGGGACCATTTGGATATTAGAAGAGCAATCCCTCGCCAAAAAAGCGGAATTCTGATTGATTACAAGCATTAACTGTAGGTTAGAAAACATTAATCAAACCTAATTGGCATGAGATACGCTTATGAACAAATAAGAAGTAGGCCTGACCAAATTTGTAAAGGTTGTCAAATGATGTATGTCAAATTCTTTTAAAAAAATGACTTGCCCATGATGTTTCGTTTACACTCTAGAATATCAAGTTTTGTTCTATATAACATTGGCCTTTTCCAAATTGTTGAACTGGAAATGACTTCACCTATACGAAAAATACTTAATTAGCATGATTACTTAGCTTGTTTTATAAATAATGGTAGGAATTAAATTGATAATTTTATTATATGTTGTAGGATAATAAGCGATACTAAACCCAATTAAACGAAACTACTATTTATTGCGAATATTTAAATATACTTCCCGTAAGGCAATTTTTCCACCCTTCTGTAGCCACAAGAAATCAATAGCTGGCTCGAAGAATGTCTTCAGGTGTAAATTAATAAAACCTCTTGTTTCTGCTTTAATTATCCTAGAAATGCTTGGCTACAAGTTTAGCACATAAAACAATGTTTTAAGAAAACAATCCAAGCAGTTTTAAGCCGCAAATTTTTATGATTATATTGGTTTTATTTATCACTTACGAGTGCTTAAATTATTTTATTAGTGCTTAGATTCCTATTAATGCTTAATGGATCAACACATAGTAGAGGATATTTACTAGCTGTAATATTTTAGTCAATCAAGACATACACGTCACTTTATTCTGATGATCTGATCTACTAATTGTTTTGTTTTTTGTTCTATTATTACCAATGATTGAAAGCTAAGCAATATTTAAGATTAGCGTATCAAAATATTGCAAGTATGATGGGTTACCATTGTAGCCTAGAAATATGGAAAAATAATAGCTCTTGTGTTTCGCTCACAAACTAGAGAAGTAATGTTGACTACTACGCAATATATACTTGCTTGAATGCACTAAATGCCATTTCTTAGTCAACTTCCTCTGGTTCCCTTCACCGCATATCATTATACGCAGCCATGTGAAGCATTTATTTCGCCCTCAATTTTAAAGTGTTTACCCTACCTGCACTAAATTAAAAAATATTAAAATTTTCTACAATGTCCAGTTTAATTAGGGTTTTTAACTACGCATGTAATGCAAACGCTTGGTCAGACTATGTTTTGAATTCATTGAAGTGTCATTGTAACGCGTTTAGCATACAAATATCAAAGTGCTCTTAATGCCTAGTTTTCAAATGTTATTTTCTAGTCGGTAATTTGTTTACACCATGGATTGGGGCTTATGAGTATTCTGCGTTACCTCATTTTAAAAAATATTCGTATCTACTCTACTGCTTCTTTTATTTAAGGTTGTGTGTTCGACAAGGAGTTTTTAAAATAATTGCTGACGTAAATTGCCGAAATTGGTCTTGCGAGATCAGAGGCCAAACCTACCGATTAAGCGCAATTAACTTGTCCAATATTTAGGCACTTGTGTGAGAGGCAGGTTGTTTTTCATTATTGTGCAATATAATTGCAAATTTTCTAAGTTTGATGGCGGGACCAGACAATAAACAAGCGCATGATGCAAGGAGTGCTTAAATCTCGGTACTCTTACCAAGTTACTAATTGATGTCTATTCCATATTTTTCTACTCAACAATCTGGAGAAACGTTTAAATAGTTGCAGGTTTACCAATCAACAACTTGGTAGGAACATTAGCAGAATCCCAATTCTACTGATGTACAGGGACAAGTAGTGGATCAACCCCGCCAAATGAAAATACAACATCTTTGAATGCGTAGACGGATAGGCAATATTTAATAATCCATCGGCAGAACTGTTTTGCTAAGATGGATGCAAAATCAGTATTAGAGTAGAGACCAGCCACTGTGGACCGGTAGTAGCTCTTCTTTCTTACCGACTTATGCTACAGTGTTTACGAATAACTGGAAGGCCAAACAATCAGGACTGGCGGCAGGCATGTTTACGGGTGCGCACTGACTTCTCCGGTATCATTCAGAGTAACCCAGCTGTTCGGCCTCTGCACACTTTAACACTTATGCGCAATGCTTCATTGCCATGGCTTCACTCCAAAATTCGCTGCAAATATATGACCTCCATTGCTTTTTCTTTGCTAGACATCTGCTCTTAGATTTTTTTCCCTATAACTCACCACTTTAACAGAAGAATTTTCCTGCTTTACTAAACCAGCTGAGTTTTCGTTTAAAGGGATTGACAATTTTAGCTCAAGCCGATTACTTGGATCAAATTAATTACTCTGTCGTTACTAACCCCAAAAAACCATCAAGACTCTTACACGTCAGGAAGGATAATGCCACAGATGAACACATCACTTCAGTACATCTCGACAAATCTAGTCCTATCAGGTGACGAACCTGATAGTCCAACCTGTCTTCCGGAATAGTTGTGGAATGGGGGTATTTTAGCAGCAACTTCAAGTCTCATCAATATAAACGGGTGAGCGAAAAATACCTAAAGATCTCTTGCTCTGTGATCGAGCCCGCAACCAGTACACGGTGAATCATGACTAGCCTTTGATCGAAAAATCATTCTGCTTTGAATCAACCAGCCGGATCTGAGCAATTGGCTGCCTTGACGCTGAGGAGGGAGTTCGCGCTACTACTTGGTTCACATGCATGAATTTCAGCAAAAAACATACTTGCTTTATTATCTTCCTTCGCCTTACATTCCAGTACATTCAAAAATCTTTTGAATTGACAAGTAGTTATAAGGAATCGATGCGCTTAAAGTGTACCTCACAGCCTAATTTATTTCGGATGAGGCTCCCATAGCGATTTGGCTAATAGAAAAGTTAGCAATTGTTTCAGTTGAAGGGGCCAGGATTCCTTTACGGGAATTTGCGGTAGTTCTTTGAGAAACGCCGTTTGAATGATTAGCAGAGTACCTTTAGAGGAGATTTACCTCAGTAGCTTCTGCTGTAGTTAGTAATAAAAGCTTCTCTACAAAAACGGACCTGTAAGATTCATTCAACAAGGCCTAGGAATAATGGCCACACATCAAATGCGAATCAAAAAACACTCTCCGAAAGGAATAGAGTCCATCGTCAAGCTTCCACTTTGAGACTTCTGAGGTAGAGGCGCTTATTTAGCCACATTCTCGGGTGTCCTTTCCTCCATCAAAAGTCACACCATTTCAATTCACTTTATGTGAATGTAAATGAATTCAACATTACAGTCAGAAACTCCGCTCAAATTATCACTAAATTTACATTATGTTAATGGGTCGATTTGTGTTGTTATGAAAAATGCAGTAGCTAACTTGCATAAAGTGCCAGTCAATTCGGATGTCAAATCTCTATTCCATCTGCTGTAGGACAAATGCCTCTTGTGGTAAACTCAGCAAAAAGTTTCTTCTTCACCTTAAGCTAAAAAATGAAAAGTTTGATACCTTATTAAAATTTGATTGACCTATTATGACTACCACGACTTCTTCATTCTATTCCAAAGTTGTCCCGTACATACTTCTCCGTTCTTAGCCGAAAAAGCCCCATCCAATTTTGCCTTCTTGAGGCCATCATACAGCTTTTGGAATTTTGAAACACAATATTGCACATTGAAAGAGGGTATGTGCGTTTTTCGCTTCTTCAGAATCACGGGGATGAGAATTTGCCTTCAGTCTGATGGGCAGCCATATGCTAGTCAGGCAGTGTCACTGTTAAGCTTTTGTAAGCTACAGTAATGCATATGAGAGGTTTTTCTAACATTAAATTGGGTACAAGCATTTAAACCTATCTCCCCATCTGTTCAGCTTATAAGAAACCATTGGCAAATTTAATAAGTGGCTGCGTAATTTTACATCCATCTAACCATCCTTCTTCTACATTCGAGTACTACACCCCGCTTTTCAAATACAGAGAACAGGTGAAGTTAAGTAACAAGGATCGCCAAGACAATACAAACCGACGAACCATTGATGCATGAAAAAATCTGACGATGTTTGATATAGATGCCTAATTTGACAGCTGAATATCAAAATATTAATATTTTGCCCAGTAAAATGATTCATGAGTGTGGCAATTATTCACCATGAGACAAGACAGTGCCTTCATTAAATATCTTAATCGGCAGGAGGACTTGTGACAATGTTTTAATAATCACAAACCAGAGGAATAAAATATTTTCTTTTTTAAAAGGTCTGCACTTTGCTTTTCTCGTCATGTATGAGAACCTCAACCTACACATAACCACTTAC